AAGCTGTCGCCCTGGGTAGAGTGCCGTGGCATCACAGCTCACAGCAACCTCCAACTCCTGGGCTCAAGCGAGTCTCCTGCCTCAGCCTCCCAAGCAGCTGGGACTACAGGCGCCCGTCACAACTCCCGGCCACTTCTTGGTTGCAGCCGTCATCGCCATTTGGCGGGCCCAGGCTGGATTCAAACCCGCCACCCTAGGTGTATGTGGCTGGCGCCCCAGCCACCTGAGCCACAGGCGCCGAGCTGACCCTGAGGTTTTTGACTCCCACTTCCGAACCAGAGATTCCTGGAGTTAGCAAGGACTCAGGAGTCCCCTCTCAAAAGCTATCTGTTGGACGCCTCCAGCGAAGGGGCTCCCTCCCAGTCCATAAGCAACCTTGATTGCCGGCCCTGTTCATTCCTCCCACCACGCGGGGCGCCAAATGCAGACATTCGCCTTCGGAAGGCCCTCCGCGTGCCCCCAGAGTTCCTCTTCTTTCTCCACTCGCCCTCTCCGCCGCAAGGCGCAGGCGCCGCCCGCGCTCCGCGCCCCCTCCCAACTAGCAGTCCACGCGCAGGCGCCCTACGGCTGGCGTCGGTGGCCCAGGCGCGCCCAAGCTCAGGCCGCGTGGCTGTTGGTTGGGAGCGGGCCTCGTGACCGCGGTGTCGCCGCGCGAGCGTGCGCAGAGTGGCTCAGCGCGCCCGTGACGGAAAGACTAGGGGTGGGGTGCGCGACCTCGCCCGCCCGGCCCGGCCCCCGCCCCTTGGCCTGCCGCTCCGCCCCCGCGGGGCGTCCCGGGCCGCTCGTCTCTCGGCGGCGGCAGCGCGCGGCCCGGGGTCGCCGTGAGTACTCGCGAGGCTGGCCTGTGGGGCAGCCACCACGGGGACGGGGCGGGGCGGCCGAGCAGCGGGAAGGGTGCGGGGCCCGCCCCGCCTCGATCGGGGTGGATGAAGTGAGGGGTTAGACCAGGTGGCTCTGGAGGGTCTTCCGAGCTTGGCAGGCTTCTCTCAGGCTCCGTGGCTGGCGGCACAGATCCGGCACAGAGCTGCTTCCCTGGGGAGGTGGTGGGGGTCTTTGGGTTCCCGGAGGAACCCGGGAGAAGAGCTGTACCTGCTTCCTCAGCGAGGCCGCAGGGCCTGCCCTGGAAGCGCAGTGGCGGAGAGTATTTTCATAGACAGCTCCATCCTGTCTCCGCTGGGTACCCGAGATAGCGTAGCGAGCGGGAATCGCCCCTCGGTGTTTCTTCCCTACACTCTTTGTTTAGTGGTCTGGTCCTTTTGAGAAGGGGCACATGGTATGGAGCGGAGTAACCTCTTCCAGGACCACAAAGCTGGGAGCCAGACCCGGAATTTAAACGCTGAGATTGGAGGCTGCTTTTACTATATGTAAAGCTGTCATACGGAGAAGCACCCGTGGACCTAGGGAAGGACTTTAGTGACCCAAACTTGAGGCTTATTTACATTTGGCCTATTCACTTGGAAATTCTTAAAGCCTTCTATGGTAGCTACCATCATCCACACTAAATACTGAGCTTAATACTCCCTCTGGGCATTTTCATGTAGTCTGTATTTGGTCCAGCTACTTTTGAAAGGTTCCTTTCTTTAGCTCAATTTAGATAAATCAGATAGGTCTTTCTTGCTTAGTTCATGAACAGCTCCCTTCTTTAGTTACAGCCACATCACATGAAGATTAGATGTAATTAGGATCTGTCAAATGTCCTTAAGTTCCATTTCCACTATACTAACTGTAAGGAAGTTGCTTGACCTTCCTAGGCCTTAGCATTGCACAAAATGAAAAGTTTTGAACTAGGCCACCTTTCAGGCTTATTGTTTAAAATATCTGTGTCATTCTGTGTATTCCATGACCCACCACTTGTCTTTTCCCATTCTTTGCCTGTTAAGCCCATTCTCCATCTCTCCAGAGGAAAAGGCATTGAGAGTAGAGGGAGCAAGTCTCTTTCACTGATTCGAAAATCAGTAATTACTGAACTGTCTCTTTCATGGACAAAAAACTCACTCTAAACTACCTTTTTCTCCTTGTGATAGCAGAAACCAAGCAGCAACAGCCCTTGGAGAGGCTAAATTTTTCTTGACTTCTGCAGCAACAAAGACCTTGAACAAGTTGGTACTGCTGGCCTACATTGCCATCATCCCACTGCTCACCCTAAGACAACATAAGCTGGACATTAATACCTCCCACTTTACTCCTCTCCAATCATCAAGATCAGCACGTGACTGTTTATTTTCAAATCTCACAAACCCAGCCCCTAGATCTTCATATTCTGGTTCTCAGCTGCTCTTAAAGGTGAATGATGTTTTACTTTTCTAAAAATAATTGTTGTGTGATTTTTGTCTATATGTGGAAGCATTTAAGTTCTTATATATATTTCTCACTTGGGTAGGTATCCATTGATTGATCAATTGATTCATTAATTCAAGAAATATGTTAAGGGACTGAAAATATAGACCAGTGATTTTCAGTAGTGTGCCATGGCATATTGGTGTGCCATTGAGAGGATCTTAGGTGTGCCAGAAAAATTTTAAAGATCATTAACTAAATTGTTTTTGAGAGAAGTTTAAAGCACATAATTATATTCTTTTTTGCACTCTTTTTTTTTGATCAACATAATTTAAGTGTGCCGTGGAAGTTTAACTATAGGTTTGAGTGTGTGGTGAGATAAAAAGGTTGAAAAACACAGATAGAGATGAAAACAGTCAAAGCTTCTGCCACCATTAAGCTTACATTCTTATGGGAAACAAAATATTTTGTGTTGGGTGGAGCCTGCGGCTCAGGGAGTAGGGCACTGGCCCCATATATTGGGGGTGGTGGGTTCAAGCCTGGCCCTGGCCAAAACTGCCGAAAGAAAAAAAAATTTGTGTTAGAATGTGTAAGTGCTGTGGGAAAAAAAAAGCGAACGGAAGGATAGAGAGTGTTAGGTTGGATTGTATGAAATGACAATGCCTTTTCCTCTGGAGAGATGGAAAGGAAGGATACCCCAACCTATGTACTGGGGTGTTGCTGTTTTATTAAAATGGTCAAGGTGACCTTTGAGCAGAATCTGAAAGAGTAAAGGAATAAGCCATGTGGATATTAGGGTGAAAAGCATCCCAAAAAGGGGAAGTAACTGAGACAAAGGGTCTCTTGTGGGAATATGCTTGATATGTGTGAAGAACAGTAGGAAGGCAATTGTGGAGTCTCAGGTAATTTTCCTGTCAACATTTAGAGTTGACTTTTTCAGCCCTTGTTAGAGTAGCTTCTAATTTTTTAAAATGAAATTCTCCACTCTTCCCCTGCCTTTTGTACTATGGTAGTTTAAAGCAGATATCAGATCATTTCAGAATGCCAATTATAATTTCCCTTTGTACTGTATCTCATGAGTCAGGCTGCACTACATATATAAGCTGGAAGACTGCTATATTGACTTTGCCCTGGCTTTTAACCTTATGTCCCTATACTGAGTCAGTTACCAAGCTTAAGTTGGTATTTTAGGAACAGATCATAGGCTCTTAGAGCACACAGGATATAGAACAGTGGTTTTAAAATTTTGTCATGCATCAGAATTACTGGGCCTCATCCTGGAATTTCTAATTCAGTAGATCTTAGGGGCCTAAGAATTTGCATTTCTAACAAAATTCCTAGGTGATACTGATATTGCACATCCACTAACCTCACTCAGAACTGCTGGTCTAGAACCCAAGGCTCAGTAGAACTCAGTAGAACTTTAAGAGACCAAAAACACCTCTATTTGAGATTGGAGTAGGTTAGACTGAGGTATATGCAGAGATAGTGACCTACTGATCTAGAGAGCAACTGAAAGCTTTTTTAGACTCTACTAAGGAAGCTTTGCCATCTTCACAATTTGACAGATGAGTTTGTTTTTACTACTGTATGTTGAAGCTTCCCTGACCATACATGGGGGAAATGGGAAATTGTGGGTAAATGTACAGGGACTAAAAGCTGCTGGTATAGCATTAAGGGTCCTCAGGATTAGAAGCAGTCAGGGGGAACTATATGAAAGGTCAGCAGGTTAAGTCTTTTTCTAAGTGTTTGTTAGGATTATTATATTTTTATTTAGGGGGTAGGTTCCAAGATGACTCTAGGGCATTATTTTGGCCATGACAACTCAGATCATGACTGCCAGAGAGTGTTCAGTATTGTTGAGGACATTTTAAGTTAGCTGTGATTGCCATAGAATGGCTTCTAGTAATACTGATGTTTAAAAGGAGGTAATGGCTCAAGATGGAGAAATAACAGGGATAGAGTCTGGAAAGAATCTGATTCTGCTTCTTAATTCTGCCAGAGTTTGGTACAGTAAAGGATGTTCCAAAATAAACTGACCAGACAGAGTAGCACCACCACTTTTGGCTTCAGGAATGGTCACTTTATGAACCAGAGCAGAAATTTGTTCCACTTCCAGCTTTCTAGTTTAAATGGAATAGCAGTGTCTTATGTTTGTATAGTGTGCTTTCATTGTTTATTATCTTTAAAGAAATACATGTATAAGTGTGTGTATATGCATGCAACTATGTCTTTATGTGCAAGTATCTATATGTATGTATAATAAAAGTATATTCATAAATACGTGTGCCTTTGTTTATACCATCCAGCTATTAAGTGGTGATAAAACCAGTTGTTGTCTACTTTCCACAGGACATTGCCTTGTTACCACCACAACAGCAGAGCCTGCCATCCCCAGCAGTTCTCCAATTGCCCTTGACGTCGCCCTCTTGTCTCCCTTTTTGGCCTCCTAAATGCCCATGTCATTGGCCTGGGTTCAGCTGGTGGTATGGAGGGGTGCTGCCTAGCACTAACCTGAGAGTGTGTGTGACCCACTGACCCAATGGTGAGAAGTGATTGCCTACCTCTGCAGCTCATTGTCCAAGGGATAGATGAGACAATACAGATCATACCCTTTCCTACTATTTTTACTCCCACCCTTTTGAAAGGTAGTGTAGCTATTTGACACTAAAGGAAATAGAAGCAACACAGAAACAGTATTACTTGGTGTGTTATGTGTAGGTGTGTTTTCTTGGGAAGGAAGGAGTTAAATACAAAGTGTCCAAGATGTTGCCTCTAAAATTATCATGCATAGGGGAAATGGGAAATTGTAGCTAAATGTACCTTTATTTACAAAATATTTTTTTTTCTTTTTTTTGTTTTTTTTTACAGTTTTTGGCTGGGGCTGCCACTTCTGGCATATGGGGTTAGTGCCCTACTCTTTTGAGCTACAGGCACCGCCCTATTTGCAAAATACTTTTTAAAAAATATTTACAAAGGCTTGGTGACAGCCACATACACCTAAGCTGGTAGGTTCGAATCCAGCCTGGGCCCGCCAAACAACAATAATGACTGCAACTAAAAAATAGCCGAGTGTTGTGGCAGGTGCCAGTAGGCCCAGCTACCTGAGAGATGGAGGCAGGAGACTTGCGTGAGCCCGGGAGTTGGAGGTTGCTATAAGCTGTGATGCCATGGCACTCTACCCAGGGTGACTGCTTGAGGCTCTGTCTCAAAAAAAAAGACAAAATATTCTCTATGTGTTGCCTACCTCTGTAAAATTTTATAATGAATATTTTATAAATAAAGATAGGTTTAGCTACAATTTCTTTTTTTTTAAATTTAATTAATTAATTTATTTATTTATTTATTTTGGCTGAGGCTGGATTTGAACCCACCACCTCCGGCATATGGGGCCAGTGCCCTACCCTTTTGAGCCACAGGTGCTGCCCCACTACAATTTCTTATTTTCCATATGTGGGGGAACTTTTAGGACACCCTGTACTTTAAGAGGTAGAAAGGGAATGATGAGACAAGAGAGCTTAGGTGTCCTTCGGAGCTGTCTTGGGTAATGATCCTAGAAGAGGCCAGCTTATACTGGAACCCAGATATGTTTAGGAACCAGCCTTGACATTGAAGTCTTCTGGATCCTTCCCCCACTGGCTATAAGAGTCTTAGTCATCCCACTGAGTCTTAAGGGTAAAATTCCCTACTGTTTTCCTCTGTCCCATCAAGTCAGAGCTATTCCATGGAGATGGTCAGATTCAGTAAGAGACCAAGACTCTCACAAAGGGTGAGGTGAAAGGTATAAAGGGTTTAGGGCCTCAGTTATTCTATCCCAAGGGACCTTCCCCATTTCTTATGGGAATCTGTGTCCTATTATTCCTGTTACTACCCCAGCCCTTTCCGTAGGATAACAGGGACCTAACAAAGGATGGTATTCTTGTTTCTTATAATTAGGACATCAAAGGCCAGTTCTGGAATGATGATGATTCGGAGGGAGATAATGAATCAGAAGAATTTCTCTATGGAGTTCAGGTGAGGTTATATCTATCTCCCAAGACCCATGTTGAATGGTCTAGGTGTGTGCTTCTCTCTGGATTTACAGTAGTGAAAGAGGTTATTGAGAGCACAGATGAGATAAGAATATAATGTTGGGGCTCGGCACCTGTGGCTCAAGCGGCTAAGGCGCCAGCAACATACACCTAAGGTGGTGGGTTCGAATCCCCAGCCCGGGCCTACCAAACAACAATGATGGCTGCAACCAAAAAATGGCCAGGCGTTGTGGCAGGCGCCTGTAGTCCCAGCTACTTGGGAGGCTGAGGCAGGAGACTCGCTTAAGCCCAGGAGTTGGAGGTTGCTGTGAGCGTGATGCCATGGCACTCTACCCAGGGGGATAGCTTGAGGCTCCATCTCAAAAAAAAAAAAAAAAAGAATATAATGTTGGTATAGTCTGAGCATAGTCTTGTTAGAGCTCATCAATGTCCTTGCTATTGCCTGGATTTTTTTTTTTTTTTTTTTTTTGAGACAGAGCCTCAAGCTGTCCCCCTGGACAGAGTGCCGTGGCATTACAGCTCACAGCAACCTCCAACTCCTGGGCTCAAGCGAGTCTCCTGCCTCCGCCTCCCAAGTAGCTGGGACCACAGGCGCCCACCACAACGCCCGGCTATTTTTTGGTTGCAGCCATCATTGTTGTTTGGCGGGTCCGGGCTGGGGATTCGAACCCGCCACCTTAGGTGTACGTGGCTGGCGCCTTAGCCGGTTGAGCTATAGGCGCTGAGCCTATTGCCTGGATTTTTATCTGTTTCAGAGTAAGCTACATTTTCTGTTCTACCTGCTACGTATATGTTTTATTTTTATTTAGAGACAGAGTCTCACTTTGTTGCCCTTGGTAGAGTGCTGTGGTGTCACAGCTCACAGCAACATCCAGCTCTTGGGCTTAGGCAATTCTTTTGCCTCCGCCTTCCAAGTAGCTGGGACTACAGGTGCCTACCACAATATTCAGCTATTTTTTGTTGTTGCAGTTTGGCTGGGGCCCAGTTTGAACCCGCCACCCTTAGTATATGGGGCTGGTGCTCTATTCAGTAAGCCATAGGTGCCACCCACCTATATGTTTTTAGTTAAAAGCAATGTTTTCTGACTCTTTTTCTCCATGGCCAGTGGGGTCACATCTTAAAGGATTACTCTGCTGGTTATTGCTTAATGCCACTACTATTCAGAGCACAATCCCAAGCAGAATACTTAGACTCTCAGAATGGTTTTCTGATAGAACCAAGCTGAGTTAAAATCTGTACTCTTTAGCCTCTTCTGAATAGTCAGAGAATGTATATGTAAGTATCCTGGTTAAGATCCGAGAGGAAAAGCTGGAGATGTAAAAGATGTGAATTCAAGCAAAGCTTACCTTTGGTCTGGTGAAATAGTTTTAGAGTGGTGATAAGAGGGATACTTGTAGGTTGATGGAGTCCCTACCTAGGGTCACCACCAAGAATGCCTTCACATAAGTGGCTTTAACTTTCTCTGCTGCTGCTATCTGATTTCTTCTCTTCTTGGTGTCTCTTTGTGTTCTTTTCATTTTCATCTTTCCTTCCCCTGCCTATTTTTTCCCACACCTCTCTTCCCTTTTTGCAACCATCTCAGGGGAGCTGTGCAGCTGACCTGTATCGACACCCACAGCTTGATGCAGACATTGAAGCTGTGAAGGAGATCTACAGTGAGAACTCTGTATCCATCAGGTGGGACTCTGCTTCAGGATGGCAAGGAGCAACCTGCTTCTTTCTGAGTTGTTAAAAGGCTAGACGTTTTTTCTTTTTACTGTATGCTTGGGGATAAATTATGAACTTAATGGTAGAAATTGCTCAATATATAAGCTTGACTGACAGGATAGAGTAGGGAAGTCTATTTTTCTTAGAAATTTCCTCTTATGGCTCAGCGCCTATAGCTCAACCGGCTAAGGCGCCAGCCACGTACACCTAAGGTGGCGGGTTCGAATCCCCAGCCCGGACCCGCCAAACAACAATGACAGCTGCAACCAAAAAAATAGCTGGGCGTTGTGGCGGGCGCCTGTGGTCCCAGCTACTTGGGAGGCGGAGGCAGGAGACTCGCTTGATCCCAGGAGTTGGAGGTTGCTGTGAGCTGTAATGCCACGGCACTACCCAGGGGGACAGCTTGAGGCTCTGTCTCAAAAAAAAAAAAAGAAATTTCCTCTTATTCTAGACCTGTCTAGGCTGATAGTTTCACCATGGAGGTACAAAAGGTTCTGGCCTGTAGAAGGCTCTGATTATATATGTGGCATGAGGCTATAGGTCAGACCCTGTATACAGAAATACCTTCTGCTCTTCCATCTCCCCTGTCCTACCCAGTTCTCCTCAGTCTCTGTTCCTGTCTTTCTCCCTTAATGAGTCTCACCTGTGGTTGCCTGTATCTCTATAGAGAATATGGAACTATCGATGACGTGGACATTGACCTCCACATCAACATCAGCTTCCTCGATGTAAGTGGGGCTAGTACCTGCCAACAACATGTCTAGCTGGACTTGTGGAATTTGTCATGTAGGCCAGGAGTCTTGTTCCTGAGTGCTGTATTTGGAGCACATATTCTTCATCTCTGTCTTTCCTAGACCATCAGCAGACAGTGGTGTGTACTGTCATGTGCATGCATGTGTCACATGGGGAAACTTCAAGTCCATTCCCCTATCTTGCTAAACTAGAAATTATTTTTATTATTCTTTTAGGAGGAAGTCTCTACAGCCTGGAAGGTCCTCCGTACAGAACCCATTGTGTTGAGGCTACGATTCTCTCTCTCCCAGTACCTTGATGGACCAGGTAAAGACAATGACTTTGGGCAAGCAGGTGCTCTGAGTGTGATGTAATTCAAAGTCCTAAGTTAACTGAAGTAGAGAAAGACTAGGAAGAAGGCCCTTGGGCTCCTTCTGTAGGCCATTGGTAAGGGTTTTTTAGTTTCCTGTCATTGGTGGCTTCATCCCCTGTCACATGATAGCCATTCCCTAAAGCCCTTCTGGGTTAATCGTATTCTTTTCTCTGGTTCTAAAATATAATTTATTTTTCTCCTCCCACCAACTTTCTACTGAAAGTATTTAAAATTGATTAGACATCTTCCAGAACCTGCCCTCTACCTCAGACCTTTGCCTTTTCCACCATTATTGAGAGTATCCAGCAGCTTCTGTTTTTAGAATCTGAAGAAGCTATAGCACTGAACTGTGCCTTTGGACTCCCAGAAGGATAGAGACGCGTACTTACTAAGAACCTTCTCTTTGCAGAACCATCAATTGAGGTTTTCCAGCCATCAAATAAGGAAGGGTTTGGACTCGGTCTTCAGTTGAAAAAGTAAGAACTTTGATCTTTTATGATCTGAGATTTTTGAGGGAAAGAGAGATACAAATATGTGGATGGACAGGCAGAGCCTTAGATGGAATGTTTCCTTCCAAAAGAATCAATCTTCCTGAAATGTGCCCAGGAAAAGCTAAGATATATTTGGGGAGCCAAATTTATTACTATAGAGGGGGAATCTGTGGTTCTTGGGTGTTAGAACTTAAGACTTCTTAGAGGCATAAGGAGAGGCTCATCACTATTTAGCATTTAAGGAAAAGTACAACCCTGGAATTGGAGTCATGCCATTCATATTACCTCTTATGATTTCCCCAGAGAGACTCTGAGAACTCAGAGGATTTTAGTTTATTGAACGTGTTGAGCATTATGCTAAGTATTTGGTATACAAAGAGAAATGAAGCACATTTTATACCCTCAGTGAAGTTCCAAATAGAGTCCAATGGGTACATATTCTTTTTTTTTTTTTTTCTTTTGCAGTTTTTGGCCAGGGGCGGGTTTGAACCTGCTACCTCCAGTATATGGGGCCAGCGTCCTACTCCTTTGAGCCACTGGCACTGCCCCATATTCTTTTTTTTTTTTTTATTGTCACCCTCAGTAGAGTGCCATGGCATCATAGCTTATAGCAACCTCCAACTCTTGGGCTCAAGTGATTCTCTTGCCTCAGCTTCCCTAGTAACTGGGAATACAGGCGCCCTCCACAATGCCTGGCTATTTTTGTTGTTGTTCAGCAGGCTTGGGTGGGGTTCAAACCCAATAGCCCTGGAGCATGTGGCCGGGGCCTTAACCACTGAGCTATAGGCGCCCAGCCCAGTGGATACATATTCTAATACAAATGAATATGTAAAGTTTAGGCTCAGCGCCTGTGGCTCAAGTGGCTAAGGTGCCAGCCACATACACCTAAGGTGGCGGGTTCGAATCTAGCCCCAGCCACCAAAACAACAAAGATGGCTGCAACCAAAAAATAGCTGGGCGTTGTGGCGGGCACCTGTGTTCCCAGTTACTTGGGAGGCTGAGGCAGGAGACTCGCTTGAGCCCAGGAGTTGGAGGTTGCTGTGAGCTGTGATGCCAGGGCATTCTACCCAGGGGGACAGCTTGAGGCTCTGTCTCAAAAAAAAAAAATATGTAAAGTTTAGAAAGACCACAGGTAAAGGAGTGACTCAGTCTGGTGACAAGTGAAGGACTGTGAATGACAGATGATTAATGATTTTGTGGGATGAGTAAGAGCTGTCCACATGGACAGGCTCTGAAAGTGAATAACATTTGCAGGGGTCTAGTCACATGAAGCAGCATATACGTAGGTAGCTTCAAGCAGTTAAGTATTGCTGATGAAATGCAAAGGAAGAGTGGTAGGAACTAAAGCCAGATAATAGGTATTCAGATTAGGAAGGTCTTGGGCTTTTATCCTGTAGGTGGTGGAAATACTGAAAGGTTTTAGGCAAAGAAAGGACAAGGTCAGACTTAGTTTTAGAAAAACCATTTTGTAGCATTATACAAAACAGGTAGAGGGGAGGAGACAAGGGACCAGAGTTACTTTAATGCAGTGGTTCTCAACCTTCCTAATGCCATGGCCCTTTAATACAGTTCCTGTGGGTCATAACCCACAAGTTGAGAACCGCTGCTTTAATGGGAGGCTTTTGTAGAATTGTAGACATGAAATGCTGAAGGCCTGAACTAAGGTGTGACTATAGATAAGAATGGAAATAAGAGACAGATTAGAGAAAATCAGTAAGACTTGAAGGCTGATTTGGATGTGTTAATTATGGTCCTAAGGACTAAGGAATAGTAGAATATTATTCCTAAGTTTTCAGCCTAGATGTCTGAGTATATTGTGATGCCAACAATTTAAACACAGATAGAAGAAGAGGAGCACATTCGTAGGATGAGGATAATTAGTTAACATTTTAGCTTGTTGCTTAAAGGTACCTTTGGGATATGCAGGTGAAGATGTTCAATATATGTCAATATGCTACTTGCAGAAGAGGTTAGGGTTGAAAATATGTACCTGTGTGTGTATGGAAGTTATAACTGGTGCATATGAGATTGCTAAAGGAGCATAAAAAGTGAAAGGAAATAGGGTCAAGGGCAAAATACCCAAGAAACCAACAGAGTAGGCAAAGGAAGAAACTCTGCAGGGAGGTCAGAGAAGAATAAGAAGAGAATGGTGGCATAGAAGACAAGCAAAGAAAGGTTTTACGGGGACCAGATGCCAGAGAAGATAAGTAGGAGGAGAACTTTAAGAGTTTCTATAGGACTTGCTATCAAGTTTTTAGTGGAATGGTGAAGGTAGAAATCAGAAAGTTGAGAAGTGGGTGATTGGCAACAGAGTAGAAACAGTGAGTATAAATTGTAAAAAATTTGGATGAGGATAGGAAAAGAAGAGGTAGAGGTAGTTAGACTGAGCTCCATAAGATGAAATTTTGGTAGACTTCAGGAAGGAAACTGACAGGAGAGGGGACTCGTTGACATATTAAGGTCCCTAAAGAGGTAAGATGGGGCTGAGATCTAGAGCACATATAAAGAGATTGATCTTAAAGGAAGGTCACCTTGTCTGTAAGGAATGAGGGATCAAGGTAAGGATGGAAATGGAAATAGATTTTGTAGGCCAGATGCAGTAGCTCATGCCTGTAATCCTAGGAATCTGGGAGGCCAAGGTGAGTGATTGCTTGAGTTCAGGAGTTCAAGACCAGCCTAAACAACAGCAAGACCTTGCTCTCTTAAAAAAAGAAAAAAGATTTTTGTAGGGTGGCATCTGTGGCTCAAAGGTGTAGGGCGCTGGCCCCATATACCAGAGGTGGCGGGTTCAAAACCCAGCCCTGGTCAAAACTGCCCAAAAAAAAAAAAGATTTTGTTTTACGATTGGAAAATTAAGGGAGCTGATAACTGATGGCTTTCTCTATTGTGGAAGAAAGGTTAATCAGTTGTAGGGGAAGTTGGTAGCTTAAAGAAGGTAATAATGATTTAGAACAATAGCTTAAAGTAATGCTAGAGAGAACTGATCAGCGGCAAGTGAAAGGATTCACAAGTCTAGCTAAGGACCCAGCTCAAGTTGGAAACCATAAATTTGGGAATTTAGGGATGTAATTTTCTACCTAACAACATCAGTACCCTTCATGTCACTGCTCACAAAGTGGTACTTACCTCCATCCTACCACTGATGTTCCACTGTCAACAGTATAGTCATTCTTGGCAGTAGGTCACAAGGTTTACTGCTTTTAAAGGCTCACCTTTGAGATCTTCCTCTAAAGCGGTGGTTCTCCACCTTCCTAATGCTGTAACCCTTTAATACAGTTCCTCATGTTGTGGTGACCTCCAACCATAAAATTATTTTCATTGCTTCTTCATAATTGTAATTTTGCTACTGTTATGAATTATAATGTAAATATCTGATATGCAGGATTTATTTAGGTGACCTCTGTGAAAGGGTCATTTGACCCCCCAAGGGGTCGTGACCCACAGGTTGAGAACCGCTGCTCTAAAGGCAAAGCATCTCCGAAGTTTTCTGATCCATTAGGCTAGGTATCCCATAGGGTAAAGGCAAACTTTAGGACAGTACATTTCCAGAACATTTCCAGTTGTGTTCCCCTCCACAACTAGTTTTGCAGTCCTTGAGACTGAATTTTAAATCAATTGTTCTCTTAATCTTCATTTCTTGAACTACTCTCCTGCCTAATCTTGGTTAAGCCTGTTCTCTTTGATCCCTTAGGATCCTGTGTATGTTCACATCTCAACAATGGAAACATCTGAGCAACGATTTCTTAAAGACCCAGCAAGAGAAGAGACACAGTTGGTTCAAGGCAAGTGGTACTATCAAGAAGTTCCGCGCTGGCCTCAGCATCTTCTCACCCATCCCCAAGTAAGTGCTCCCTAGATCATTGTGATAGCTCCCACCCTTCTTGATTACCTGAATTTACTTTTCCTGTCCCTTTTTTTGGTCCTCTGAATTCTGTGTCTTTAGTTACTGATAACTTTCATATGGTCCAGTCGCATGTGTGTCCTCATCTTTCTACTCCTGACCTAATGTTAACACCTCATTGTTTAGGTCAAACACAATACCTAGCTCATGGTATATATTTGGAAAATTATGCTGATCTTTCCATCTTTCTTTTCTTTGGCCCCCATCCTTATTCTCCATCCTAAGGAGAAAGAGTCAGAGAATAGGCACCAATTCCTTGCTCTTATGCAGGGGCACATTGATTCATTAGCTGGATTCTTTTTTTTTTTTATTAGCTGGATTTTTTTCTAACTATCGCTCCATTTTATGACCCCTGGCCTGCATTTTTATCTCTTCTATTCTCCCTAGAGTTGGATAAAAATCCAGATCTGTTGCTTCCAGATACTATTGTTGACAGATAGTAGACATTAGGCTCTTTGGGATTCAACTACTTCTTGCCTAGCACAGTTTAACACTTTCTCTCTCTCTTACATGTGTGTACATATACACTCTGAGTAAATGAAATAGCTGCTTTGGGATACCTAGACGTGGTATGGAATGATCCCGTACCTGGTCCAGGTGCTGTATTGACTTACGCTCTGCCTCTGTCCTCCCTTATGTTCCAATCTGAAAAACACACAGATACGACATAAAAAGTTAATTCAGTAGTGTGATCTACTAGTTTTGATATTGTTTAAGATCCAGCAGAAGTTTTCTCAGAGTGAGTTTGTCTTTGGCTTATGAAATTTGGTCTAGGAATCACTATCACCAGTTCCCTTTTAGGACTTGTACTGAATCCCCAGTTTCATCACTTCTCTTTGCCCTGTCTCTTCCCCAGGTCTCCCAGTTTCCCCATCATACAGGACTCCATGCTGAAAGGCAAACTAGGTGTACCAGAGCTTCGAGTTGGGCGCCTCATGAACCGTTCCATCTCCTGTACCATGAAGAATCCCAAAGTGGAGGTGTTTGGCTACCCTCCCAGCCCCCAGGCAGGTCTCCTGTGCCCCCAGCACGTGGGCCTCCCTTCCCCAGCTCGGACCTCTCCTTTGGTACATGGGCTGGGGAGGGTTTGACTTGGGCATCAGGTGGGTGGGAGTGGAAATGTGGGAGTATAGCTGCTCAAAATGAAGAGAGTGCATCATAAATCAAAGACACTCAAGTGGCTAAGGTGCCAGTCACATACACCTAAGGTGGCAGGTTCAAATCCAGCCCGGGCCCACCAAACAATGACGGCTGCAACCAAAAAATAGCCGGGCGGTGTGGCGGGCACCTGTGGTCCCAGCTATTTGGGAGGCTGAGGCAGGAGGTTCGCTTGAGCCCAGGAGTTGGAGGTTGCTGTGAGCTGTGATGCCATGGCACTCTACCCAGGGGGACAGCTTGAGGCTCTGTCTCAAAAAAAAAAAAAAACCTGAGTATGTACCATACTCACTTTTTTAATGAACAAGAAAGGTTATATCTGTATTATCTGCCAAACTTCTCTGATAGTAGGCTATGAAGTAGATAGCCTAGAGATAGACATCTCAAGAAGTCATAATTTTATTGGGTATGGCTAGCAGTTGCTAGTCAGCTACTGTACTAACCTATTCCATCTGTTTTGGAGGATGGATGAGCCTTTTCCCAGAATCTTTGGCAAAAACATGCCAGAGGTCTCCTCTCCAGCTTTGGGATTACTTAGACTGATCTGAGGTAGGCCTTAGCTACTTTAGGAGAATCCTAGGTGGTAGGCATGAGTGAAGTCTGTCTTATCCTCAGCTTAATCGGAGGCTTATAAGGTTTGCCTTTTTACTTTCACCAGGTCAGTGGTCACTGCAAGAACATCCCCACTCTGGAGTATGGATTCCTTGTCCAGGTAATCAAGTCAAAGCTTGATTCCAAAGTCCCTCCCAGTTGTCTTACTCATTTGATCCCCTCACATCTCCCAGCCCCTTAGTCAGTGAAGTATTTTCTAAGTTGCTGTGTTCCCAGAACTATACTAAATGTCAAGTGGATAGGAGGAAAGAAGCCATAGTTCCCATCCTTAAGAAGCTTTAGCATTACTATGAAGACAGCACTTACAGACCACTTACAATGAAGTGCAAAGGGAGGCACTGCAAACTTTAAGTGTGTGAATGTCTAGATGAGAGAGGGATTGACACTAAGTTTCTTTTTTTTTATTGTTTTAATTTTTTTTTGAGACAATCTCACTATGTCTCCCTGGGTAGAGTGCTGTAGTGTCACAGCTCACAGCAACCTGAAACTCTTGGGCTTAAGCAATTCTCTTGCCTCAGCCTCCCAAGTAGCTAGGATTACAGGCGCCTGCCACATGCCCAGCTACTTTTTTGTTGCAGTTGTCATTGTTGTTTAGCTGGCCTGGGCTGGGTTTGAACCCGCCAACCTCAGTGCATGTGGCCAGCATCATAACCACTGTGCTATGGGTGCAGAGCCAACACTAAGTTTCTTATGAGCCTCAATATCCCTTGTTCAACTGTCAGAAAAACTAAAGACCGCTTTCACTGCTCAGCAACTTCTTTAAAAAAACCTCTTTGCCCTGTGTCACCACAGTACTCTACCCAGGGGGACATAGTGAGACTCTGTCTCAAAAAATAAAAAAATAAAAAAACCTCTTTGCTGAGTGCAGTGTCTCATACCTATAATCCTAGCACTCTGGGAGGCTGAGGCGGATGGATTGTTTGAACTCAGGAATTCAAGACCAGCCTGAGCAAGAAGCAAGCCACCCCCTGCCTCTCCCCACCCCCGTCTCTACTAAAAATAGAAAAACTAAGGCAAGAGGATCCATTGAGCCCAAGAGTTGGAGGTTGCTGTGAACTATGAGGCCAGGCACTCTACAGGTGTACAATTTGAGATTCTGTCTCAAAAACAACAACAAAAATACCTCTTCATACCTTGGGCATGCTTTCACTTTTGCATCTCTGTAACCTTTGTCCATGCTATTCCCTTTACTGGCTTTCTTCCCCATATCTGCCTTATTGCCATCGATGTAGTGATTGCCATCATTACTCCTATTGCTTTAACTGGAAATGACTTCTCCCCTCACTGAACTTTTATGGATCCTTTTTATTTTATATGTCACCTACATGTCACATACTATATGCTGCCTTGAATTGTAATTAAGTTGTATACATACCATAGCTCCCCTATTGGAGTTGAGTGTCTGAGAAGACAATCTTTTGTGTTATTACATAATCAAGGAGATTTTTCACAGAACTGGTTACATGTCAGGATTTCAATAAATTTGCATTAAATGAATGAATAAAACCTAAAGGCATATGAAATGAGAATAACCTGGTTTACACACAAAAGCTCTTTTAGAGGGTTGGAAAAAACTCTTTAGGGTATTGCTGCATGAGCTCTGGATTTGTGCCATCTTTCCAGGACAGGGCCCTTTTGAACAGTGGACTGGCTCATTATTCTAGGCAGGTAAAATGACTTCTCAGGCCCCCTGACATCTGATCATGTCCTCCCAAAATAGTAACTACGACTACTGTTAATAATTTGATTAGCATCTGTTTGTTTGTTTACTTATTTATTTTTTTATTGAGACAGAGTCTTAGTTGCCCTGGGGTTGAATGCCAAGGCATCATAGCTCATAGCAACATCAAACTCTTGGGCTCAAGAGAGCCTCTTGTCTCAGGCTCTCAAGTAGCTGGCACTATAGGTGCCTGCTATAACTCTCTGCTAATTTTTCTGTTTTTAGTAGGAATCTCACTCTTGCTCAGGCTGGTCTTGAACTCTTGAGCTTAGGCAGTCCACCTGCCTTGGCCTCCCAGAGTTGTAGGATTACAGATACGAGTTACTGCACTGTTCTTATTTTTAAAATACTTTAATGGGCTGGGTGCAGTGGATCATGCCTATAATCCTACCACTCTGGGAGGCCAAGGCAGGTGGACTGCCTAAGCTCAAGAGTTCAAGACCAGCCTGAGCAAGAGTGAGACCTCCCATTTCTACTAAAAAGAGAAATACTAGCCTGGTGCTGTGGTGGGCATCTATATTCCTAGCTGCTTGGGAGGCTGAAGCAAAAGGATTGCTGTAGCCCAAGAGCTTGAGGTTAGTGTGAACTGTGATGCCATGACCCTCTTCTCAGGGTAACAGTAACACTCTGTCTCAAAAAAAAAGTAAACTGGGAGGTGCCTGTGGCTCAGTGAGTAGGGCACCGGCCCCATATACCGAGGATGGCAGGTTCAAACCCAGCCCCAGCCATACTGCAACAAAAAATAGCCAGGCAGGCTCGGCACCTGTGGCTTAAGTGGCTAAGGTGCCAACCACGTACAACCAAGCTGGCAGGTTTGAATCCAGCCTGGGCCCACCAAAAAACAATGACGGCTGCAACCAAAAAATAGCCAGGCATTGTGGCGGGC